AATTATTTTCTTTTTAGGGTTTGATTGTTTGAAGCAATAAATCATAATGGTGAATTTTCTTTTGTTACTATGCTAATAGTAATAAAAACTGCAATTTGTACATACTGTAGGGCTCACAGTATTTAATGATAACTGAAGAAAAATGATATGCTGGAAAAACAATGATGAATTGCGAATTAATTTAGTAAAGTGGAAAACATTTACAAATTGGCTTGATATGACTCACCTTGAAACTATAACTGTTTGGCAAGGAAGTAACAGACACGTCCAGGACCTCTGCACAGTAAAACAGTAATGTGAGGAATGAAAGAATAGATGTTTTGCAAAACGATGAAGAAGTTACATTATCTGTTATGATTTGTTATGAATACAAAGTAAACTTGCGAGGACCGACTTAAAGGAAACCAGAGATTTTAGAAAAAAATAAAAATTACCTGTTACTGTGAAAAGCATTATTGATTCTAGTGGAATTTTTCTGGCGCGTTTTCAAAAAAATGTTTTTTTTACTAGATTTTCGAATACAACAGCACTAACTGAAGCTTTAAAAAGTTCAAACACAGAAATGATTTATAACTTTGAGAATCATATTCTTTATTTTCAGCTTTACAGTATGAGATTGTTTGATTTACAGGTATTCCTTTTATTATGTCCTATCTGCTTGTTGTACATTTCACTCTTTTCAAATTATATAAACTTGGCTAGCCATTTTAACCATTGTATGTGACGTAGAGTATTGAGGATTTTTAATACAATAAAAAAAAAAAAAACTGGTGTCAGTGTGGAAAAGTACCAGCTTTGCTGTAATCAGAGCCAAGGAGGAAAAATGGCGTCATGCTGAGGCCAGATGGAGTATCTGTTTGAATCTTGGAGTCATAAATTAAATGTAAAATCATATTACAGAGTTTTCCTTGCCAAAAATTAGGTATTGGGGGAGTACAAGCCATACGACTGGGGGACTTTTGTGATATATGGGGGGTGGTCACCTGTCCAAACCGGCACCTTTTTTTTTTTTTCCCCCAGAAATCTGTGGCTGAGGACTAGGTCCTTACTTCAGTTCTGACAATTAACCATATCTCTTTCTAGTAAACATGAATTAACTTTTTTTTCCCCTATTTAAAAGAAAACTAATGATGTCTGAACTCAAATCAGTCGCCTTCCTTCTGCATGCAGAAAATTCTAGGCACGTTCACATCCCTTTTCTTCTTTGTTTATTTGGGATGGCTTTTGCCTGATGCACGATTACGATTTACAGTGTTACCACTACATTGCACGTAGTGGCGTACAGCGGCAATTGCAGTTACAAACGCCAAATCATCCGAGTACCGACAAAACATAGTAAGCCAACTAGAATTTTTTCGGAGGCGGAAGGCGTCATGAAATTTAACGGTAGGCGGCCGTCTCCACAATTACCTAGCAGAAAAACCCTTGTATTATCAGGCTTAATGAAAGTAATTTATTCTGTCAGTACTACCTCCCACCAACCCCATCTCACCCCCTTCCTTTTCCCCCTTAAAGGCCCCTTGCTGACCTTGCTTGCTCCCTATGTTCACCTCTTGTACTTCAACCTCTGCCTGGATGCAGTCTGTTGGTCCCCCACCATGGCCTCAAAGGTTTGACTGTTGTCCCTTGTTAGCCCACCCAAACACTCAAGGCAACATCTTGTCAGTATGAATTCCTTTATAAACACTTATGAAAACACGGAACTTAGTTTGATTTTTCTTTCATCATCCCCCTCATGTTACTGTGAGAAAAAAAAGCTGTTCATAGCAAGTCCGGTTTTCTGAATACTTATGTCCCAAAGTTGATTTTTCTAGTTTTCCTTTGTTAAATAAATTTGCAAAAAATTCTAAATTTCTGTTTTCACTTCACTTCATTTTCATGCGGGTATTAGAGTAAAGATTTCTAGGGAAAAATGGTTGCATAATCGCCTGCAAAAAATAAAATTGTGAAAAAAGTGGAAGGGGTCTGACCACAACACACGTCAGATTTTGGTTGGTACACTGAGCAACTCTATCACTGCTGTCTCATAGACACTCATGTTCGCTTGTGACATTTTCTGGGTGGCTGCTGTGCTCACTTTACAAAGCAGGTTACCTCTCACATATCTCCTGAAGGTCTGGTCTCGCAGTCCGTAAACGATGGTGCAACGAACCGAGCTCAGGATCAGGACAAATGACGTAACAGCAAAGGGCTTATGGACAAAGTGTTGTCTTTGTGGCAATAAGTAGAGTAGACCTTGTTTGAAAACATGGGTCTCACATTAAGTTAAGCATGCACAACAGCAACTGAAACCAGGATGGAGAATAGTGTTTCTGGCTTTTTTAAAGGTGCTGCGTAGTTTGTCCCTTGGCTGCAAACAGAATCTTTAAATAGTAGTGTAAAAGAGTAGTTGAGCCAAACAAGACAGACAAAAACAATGTGTGACGCTTCCCTCTTCTCAGGCTTGTAGATGCTTCTGAACACAGTATAATCTGGGTAATATTCACACTCTGGAGTGAAAGAAGTGCAGAGGGACTCTGTGGCCAGGAGGATGAAAGTCTGGTTAGGCATAAGAGTGCACTGACCAATACCCAGATTCTTCAAACCAATCAGGATGTAGCGGTTTTTTGACAGTGCAGATGCAGGCCGTGACGGAGGGGGATCGCAGATGGCGGATTGTAGCACTCGAACGCCATTCCAGCCAGTTTTAGTGGGTGTTGAGGCGTGGTGAGGATGGTGATGATCAGCAGGATGAGCAGAAAGCGGACATTGATTGAAATACAGGGGTGTAGCTGATGCGTGGATGGAAGAGTGGACAGGGCCAGCTGTGTCATGTCTTTATCACAGGTGGATGAAACAGAATGTAACGAGGCTCGGAATACTTAAAATCTGTAAGGATAAAGGAAATTAATCAAGCAAAACGAACGAAGCATTACATGGCATGGAAAAAACGGATATTACCACAGCGCCAGGTTTGATCCGAACCCATTGCCCTTAATAATTCAATCCCCTCTCTTTCTGCCCAACTTTCCAATTCCTCTCTCTCACTGTAATAAATTGCAAAATGCCCAAAAAATAATTAAAAAGAAAAAAGATATAAAATGCAACTATGCTCAGTGAAATATAAATTGACTCACAACATATAACATAATAAATCTTCATAACTTCAATATATTTGAATTACTTTTGTAATGATATACATTCAAACTTTTCCAAAATCTATGACCAATAGAAGAAAACTTTCGCCTTCCGGTCAGAAGGGGGAAGTTTTTTTCCAATACACAACAGCACATTTAGAAAATCTGATCAAATCTCATGATAAATAAAAAAATCACAGGTTTAAGAGGACAGGCTTTTTATTGAATATGATTGACACTGATATTATCCATGGCAATACGTTGAGTTTTTCTTAATCAAACTTCTTTTTTGTTTAGACAACTATTTACTTTGCTGTTGTTCCTATTATCTTAAATGAGGCACAGAGAATCATTTACTGATGTCCCAAACCGATTTGTTAAAGCTGTTGAAAACAACATTTTAAGTTATTGTTATGAATTTAATAGCATTCTTTGGAATTTCCCTCGTTCTGCTCGCTCCAATCCTTTTGTACATTGCACATTAGCTTTTATATAAAAACTCAATGCTGGATCCTCAGGACCTGGTGCTTTCTGAAGGTGTTGGACCAGGTCTATACCATTGATCGTAGTTAATGGCAGATGTAGAGGGCTGTTGACAATCACATCTTGTAACAGCTGCAGTGAAGGTGTCCCGGCTGTCTCCCAGCGTGCAGTAAAAAGATGCCATTTGACAGATGACAAATTCATGTCTGAAATGGCAGAATCTCTCCCTGTCTGAAAGAAGCACACTTATCTCTCTACACCAATATCTGTCCAAGGAGTGAATCTAAAGCCCAGAAAGAAGTGCATGATAGATAAATGCATATGACACAGACAGCAAGGACCCAATATAATGATATACACAGTGACACAGTCACTGCGTCATCAGTTCAATGCAATAATAGCAGTCAGCATGAAAAAAGAATGCTTTCCAACCCAAGTAGAGTGGTCA